GACTTTTCTGTTGATATACACTTAGTGATTTGGTCTTTTTATATACCTAATTTACCAGCAAGGAAGTTGGGAAACAATATCCCATTTTTTCTATATTTAGGTTAATTTGTTAGTTTTTCTATTTTAATTATATCTCTTAAAGGTTAATGTAGCAGAGACCTAGTCCTAGCAGGGACTCTCCTCTGCTGGTCACACCAAAATACACTAAGGAACAAGTAAAGCAATCCAAGGATCTCCCACCTTATCCCCTGGACGACACTCAGCTCTGGGGGTATAACTGAATTTTATTCACACATACACAGCTTTTATGCTATCTCCCATGCAAGGGGTCTCACAGGTAGAAAATGCAAGGGTTTCAATCCCAAGATCCCTTGTGCCTGATAGATAATTGCCTGAGTAAACTCCTCCAAGTTAATTATCTCTCAGGCACAAAAAATCACCAAAATATCCTGTACCCCAAAAGTCCCCCAACCTTACACAGGAACCACACAAAAAACACATTCCCTGATAGATATGAGTAACCGACATATCCACGAATCACTCAGATCAGTTCGGTGGAAGATTGATTGGAGAGACACAAGGTGGTAGTCCAAAATAGTTCCAGGAGATTGGGTACCCTGGCTGGTCTCTGTTCACGAGGTTCCTGTGTGAAAACCATACAATGGAATCTCTTGCTTTCATGATACGAATGCTCCCCCTGTTCGGTAGTCCATATCTCCCGAATGCCGTTCGGGTAGGTGGTCGGGAACAGGAACAGGCAGCGGTCAAAAGTTTACCGGTGTTAGCACCAGTGCCTAGCCAAAAAGGGTTCCAGACCAAGTACCAAGTACCACCAAGTACCACTGCTCTCGTTCAGGAGATGGCCGCCATTCTCCCTGCCAAGTGTTTGGTTATACGAACGGCGGCCACACAGGGGGAAGCGTTCATTAAATGTTTCCCTTGTGGTATCTCACTTAAGTGGTTGGTGACAACGTTCTAATGGGGCACGGGGGGTCCCGTTCGGGAGACAAACGGATTCCATTCGTATGAAGTCTCCCGAATGGACAAAGTGGAACCACACAACATAGGATAAAACACAGTACTGCATAAGGGGGGTGTACAGACAGTCAAGGAAGGGAATAAAAGTTGTTGGTGTGGATCCATTCCGCTACAGTTAAGTCTTATAAGTACAGCAAATATCAATATATGTCTTCTACTCCCATAGAAACACATATTTATTTATTTTTTTCCTATTGCTATTCATCATTTAGGGGCTATCCCCCATTTGTTTTGAGTGTTTCTCATTTTTCTAATAGAGACCCATCCTTTTTTTTATTTAAATCCCATGCTCTAGCTTGTCTGTGCCCTGCTGTGGTTCTTGCTACTCGCGAGTGTGTTCGTTTTCCACATTGTGTTTTTCTGTTATTGATCCACTTTGTTTGATGACTCTAATTCCCTGTACTTCTTGACCTTGGTTTGCCTCCTTGTTCTGTTTTTGTTTGTCTTAGCGTTCTGTATTCCATGACTTCCGCCTGTCCCTGAGTCTGCCTTACATGCAGACAGGAATATTTTACCCCAATTGGCCTTTACGTTAAATGCGGCCTCTCTGCAGACCGGTAATATGTATCTCTGTTTTGCTATCCTGTTTAGAAATTGTTACTGTTGTCCAATTCTCTGTGTGATTGGGTTACTTATTCTGACAATGAGTATGTGTATATATGGATGTGTGTCTGTATGTGTCCGCGTGTTTGTGTGTGAGTTTGCGTGTGTCTATATCAATGTGTGTTCATGAATGAATGTGTGAAAATAAATGTCTTTATATATCAATGTGAGTATGCGTGTTAGTTAAACTAACAAAAAGTGGTTGGAACGCCAGGTGAGAAAACAAAAGTCTACAGTTCAGGTGGGTACATTTCACCCTGGGTGCCATGTAACCTGGGTACGCCTCTGACTGTACAATTCATTTTTTCCTCTCATTTTGTAAGTGTGGCAGGTTTATTATCCAGTTTGAGTTTAAACTGGCCAAGCGATATCTTAATGGTAAAACTCAAAGTAATGTCATAACTGCACAGATGTCTCAAAATACCAATGACTCAATGAACACTACAAAGTATTTTCAGGGATCCTCAAGAGCTAAAAAGAAACTGTCAACAACACAAGAGGATGAACAATTACAATGGGAAAGAAAAGACTAGCCTGTGTTAAACAAAAGAGTGTGCTGAGTTCTCACATTACATTCTAAATGCAGATAACTTGTATAGGAAAGGAACCTTTAATTGCTTTCACTGCCCCCTTGCCTTAGCTTTGTAATATAGTGAATGCTCATTTAGCAGTGAAAAGGTCGTTAAATGTACACAAAAGCCAACAATCACTTAAAAAAAATAATCTAATGGCTCTCTGCTCTTGTGATTAGTATGCCTTACACCTGTAATAGACATTGATTTCCTTCACCAGACTTTTGACCTTTTCTTTTTCATTTTACTTCCTGTGCTCCTACTGTTTTTCTAATTGATGGGGAAAGTATACATGATAATCAAAAGCCCCTTACTGTGTACAGTTAACTTTAAATAGCCTCCAGTTTTCATATAATGTGACACTGCCATAAATATTCAATGGAGGTAGATCTCTGCACTAAGGAATACATTAACTGCAATGATATGAATATATTTATATTTAAAAAATGTCCAAGAACACACAACAATTTCAATCAAGGACATTTATATGTATGTGTGGACAGAGGCAATATCTTGGAATACCAAAACATTTTAGGTGATGTTATGATCTACTAAGTGTATTTTAGAACGATAACAAAGTATATTATTTGCATAGACTGATTTGGAGTGTCAGTGTGTGAATGATATGTGTGTGTGTGTGTGTGTATAATATGTGTGAATGCAGTGGTGTATTTGTGTGTTGCATATGTACCATTATAAATGCATTTTATTATCTTGTATTTTCTTTCCCTCCCCTTCGTCCCACTTTATTTTTCCCCTCATCTCTCCAAACTGTGTCTACTGTAACCAAAATAGAGTGCCTCTCTCCATCCTAAACCCTCTTTTGATTCTATCCCTCCCTTTGACCACCATATACCACCTCACACCATGAATCCTGTATGCAGTGGATAGGGCAGGAACTAGGTGTCTGGAGGTCATATTTTACCTGAGAAACCTGTGGTTTTTATCTTGTTCTCCCAGGGCCGTTTTAACAGAATGATAGGCCCCTGGGTAAAGCAGTACACAGGGGGCCAGCACAAATGCTCGCAGGAATAAAAATGTAAACAATCAATAAAATTAAGCTGATATTTATTGGCACCAACAAAATCTTAAAGAAACATGATGTACAGCAGAGCTTAAAGGGACACTATAGTCACCGGAACAACTTTAGCTTAATGAAGCAGTTTTGGTGTATAGAACATGCCCCTGCAGCCTCACTGCTCAATCCTCTGCCATTTAGGAGTTAAATCCCTTTGTTTATGAACCCTAGTCACACCTCCCTGCATGTGACTTGCACAGCCTTCCATAAACACTTCCTGTAAAGAGAGCCCTATTTAGGCTTTCTTTATTGCAAGTTCTGTTTAATTAAGATTTTCTTATCCCCTGCTATGTTAATAGCTTGCTAGACCCTGCAAGAGCCTCCTGTATGTGATTAAAGTTCAATTTAGAGATTGAGATACAATTATTTAAGGTAAATTACATATGTTTGAAAGTGAAACCAGTTTTTTTTTTTCATGCAGGCTCTGTCAATCATAGCCAGGGGAGGTGTGGCTAAGGCTGCATTAACAGAAACAAAGTGATTTAACTCCTAAATGACAGTGAATTGAGCAGTGAAATTTCAGGGGAATGATCTATACACTAAAACTGCTTTATTTAGCTAAAGTAATTTAGGTGACTATAGTGTTCCTTTAATCCACAAAAAAAAAAATGTTTGGACAACGCAGCATGAGCCTCGAAGGTGAAAAACATGAAATTTGACATAAAAATGGTATTCTGTTGGTAAATCATACAGACAGAGATGGCACAGTACAGAATTACTATGATTATTTTTAAAATTATTAATCAAGTGTTCAACACAAACATTGCAAAATTTCTTTGCAGAAAATGTATTTTTAATCGGCTTGTACTGATAACCGATGATACTGAGGTGATTAATCCACCTAAAAGTTTTAATAAAGAGGGTTTGAAGGTTCTGAATAAATCTCCCGGAATAATATATTGGAAAGTCGGCAAGCTTATGGGGCCCCTATGCTCGTAGGAACCCAGCATGCACATGTGTTAAGACCGCTATGTGTTCTCCAATGGCAAAACAGAGTTTGTGTCACTACTAGTAAAGAGACTCCGCTTCACAGAAGAAAGCTGAACACTGCAGATCCTCAACATCCATTAGTGGGAATCCAGTAGGTTGTGAAGTTCCCTTTGCTACAAAAGGGTTCTCAAATATAAATACTATTATAGAGGACCCAGGCTGTATAGATGTGGAGGCTGGTCACTACCTGAGAAATAGGCCCGAGAGATCTATCTGTTCAGATAAATTCCAAAAATATTGATTTCCTAGAAGAAAGGGACACTGGGAAATAAAGAGAGAGCAGTGCTGGGCCCTATAAAGAGGGACTCTTTGGAAGTATGGAGTTTTAATTGTGCATCATAATAACAGCAAAGGGTGTACATATATTATCGAAATCTCAATCATCCCATCCCTAGCTTCATGTAGTTATTGAATCAGACTTCATCCCCCCTTATTATCCCAAGCTCATAAATTTCTTCCTCACACTAATAAGCCATTGATAAATGGAGCTTGCAGTCAGGCGAGGAGGAAGATATTAACAGAGAGGAGTCCTCTCCTGCAGGGCCACACACACTCATTAGAGACAGCAATATATTTTAGTATATTCCTGTCATTAATCTGTGCACAAAACTCGCTGCCCTCCCTCCCCTGACAGCTTCTCACATCATTAGCTCTGGCAAATTGATTAAGACTGTGAGCAAATGAGCTATTCTGGCACAGGCTGGGACTGTGGAGGTTGCAGGAAGTCAATGCAATACCGGACCGTGCGGCATTCTGTGAGTTGTAGTCATGTCTCTCTGAGACAAACAGGGAGCTACCAAAGCCTTGGACTACACTTCCCGGCAGCGCCCGCGAACGCCGCTGTCCCCCGATCGAAGCCTTGCTTACATTGTATCCATTGTATTGTTTTGCAGGCATTTTCTTACATCTTTCAGAACGTTAGATCGCAAGGTGCAAAGCATGGGGGACGAACAGGAGATCATGTGCAAATTGGAGAGCATTAAAGAGATCAGGTACCTGCTCTGAACTTCCTATTTTTTCCCAGTGGATTTCTTCCATCTTGGCAGGCATTTTTTCCCTTGTAAAACCTATTGTTATCTTACTAAGACTAAATCTATAATGGGTGCTGGGACTCTCCCTTTTAACTGTTCCTGGGAAATTCTATAGTGTATTTAATCTATGAGGAAATTGGGGTTTGATTTAATCTAGAATGGTGTGTTTATAATAATCAAATGGATCTGCATATTTGTGTGTGTATATATGTATCCAGGAATATATTGTGGATTCTGGGCTGCCTGTATTCCATACATGGAACGCTTTGGAATCTATATTCGTGTTTCAAGTCTTAGATCACATTTTGTGTCGGTATATATCATTCATATGCCAGTGGTAACTGCATTTTTCGATCTGCATTGCACGAATAATATTCCACTAATAAACATTCATTGTCCCAGAGAACAAAACACACTTGGAGATTTTTAATAATTTGGATAAAATATTATTGCATTGAAGTGACTAGATCTCTTCAGGAACTTTAGTCGATCCGGCAGTTTAGTTACAGATGTGTGCATGTTTGTTTATTGGCTCTGTGGCACTGTAACTAATGGAGATATCATCCCAATCACTAAATCATGCATCTGTCTAATGCACATACACACCAGCCGTAAAGGGTTTCCAATAGCAGGCAGTTAAGTGCCATTGCATGGATAGTTTCAATGGACAATAAATAAAGATTCAAGGACTCTGCATCTCTTTGGGTGGTAGAGTGAGAGTATTAACACTCAGGGGTACTCAAACTCCGTCCCCCCCAAATGTTGCTGAACTACAATTCCCATGACTCTCTGGCTATCTATGTAATTCAAAGAATTATGGGAGTTGTAGTTCAGCAACATCTGGGGGGCCAGAGTTTGAGGACCCCTGACCAAAGCCAAAAGTACTGCTGTAAAGGCAGGATGTAGTGAGTGATACAGGCTGTAAAGGACTCAAGTCCTCCTTTCACATATATCAGTCCAAAAAAAACCAAAAACTTAATCCTGAAGCAATTTCCAAATTGTGTCACAAAATGGGGCAACAATCCTTCTTGACTTCAAAATGGCAATTAGTTTTCACATTGGAAAAACAAACTGGTACACCACATATAAACTGTGAAATCCTTATTCCGTTTTCCTAAAAAATAATGTAATGTATATTATTTTATGCTCAGAGCTCAAAAATGAAATTGTTTTATAAAGAGTTTCAAAAGAGTTGATATTTAAAATACCACATTTGAAAATGGTTTCTCTTTTAGAGTAATGTAGCATCAGCTGTTCATTTCCTTGCAGACTGTTTGTACATAATATAATTGGGCATTTGCTGTATATTGATGGATCATGTTACCCTCTGTGTCTGTAGATAGGTTTAAAAAAAAAAAAAAAAAAAAAAAAATTACAAGGAGAGATGGGGTTGTATTGAATTAGCAATCATCACTTTGAAGTGTTTTGGTACATGTCATGTTTCTGTAAATCTTCATAAAATGCATTGGGGATTATGTAATGCTATCAGTAAATTGCAATGTTTCTGTAGTCGGAATGGTTCATTTTTGAAGACTGCAGCTTCTGTCTGACAAGACAGGCTGTTATTTGTGGCAGTACTGCAAGGTAACATGATGGTAGCCCTAGGCATACTCTTCAACTCCTCTCTGTGCGGTTGTAATTAGGTGTTAATGATGTTACAGCTTCATCCTTTTTCACTGCCAGCACCACAGACAGCCTTGGTGTAAAGAGTTTGCCCCTGAGATGGTGACATGTGAATTCCTGTCAAGAAGTACAAAATCATGCAACAATTATTGAGTGAAATTCAGAAACGTGTGGAATACAGTTCTTGTACATTAGGCACTTTACATGATGGAGTTTATTTATACAATCAGGAATTGTGGAAACGTGGCAGAATCTGGCGATTTTTGGCTTGAAAATTGAAATTCACTTTGAATTCTAATAATTTACACTTAAAAGGGCACCTTGGGCATCAATACAACTTTAGCTTAATGAAGCAGTTTGGGTGTATAGATCATGCCCCTGCTGTCTCACTGCTCAGTTCTCTGCCATTTAGGCATTGAATCACTTTTGTTTCTGTTTAGTCTGCCCTAGCCACACCATTTCTAGCTGTAACTGACTCAGCCTGCTTTAAAACAAGGGATTCATTTTCAATCAGTTGTTAATTTGCTTTATAAGTTTATATCTGCAGGGTCTAGAAGGATATTAAAAGAACAGAAGATAAGGAATTCCAAAATAAATGTGCAATAAAGGACATTTAACCCCTTAAGGACACATGACATGTGTGACATGTCATGATTCCCTTTCATTCCAGAGGTTTGGCCCTTAAGGGGTTAAACATTAGATCTCTCTTAATAGGAAGTGTTTAGGAAAGGTGTGTAAGTCACATGCAGGAAGGTGTGACAAGAGCTGCATAAACAAAGTGATTTAACTGCCAAATGGAAGAGAATTTAGCAGTTAGACTACAGGGGCATGATATATACACCTAAACTGCTTCATTAGGCTAAAGTTGTTTTGGTGTCTATAGTTCCCCTTTAACTCATAGAACATCAGTAAAATGGTTGAAGTCTCTCCTAGCAGAGTTACTTACTAAACCTGCAATAGACCGAAATAGCTGAGCTGCAAATATGTATTGCTGTATTGGTCAGTTTTCTCAGATTGACTGACTGATTTAACAGAAACGTCATTCCTTTGTGAATTTACCACTGCTCCCCGCTTAGTGACAAAGTCTGCTTATGTTCATCTCTCTGCACTGATTTCCCAGCTCCCTCACATGCTGTCTGTGTATTGGGACTAGAGCTGGAACTTCCACACTATCAAATCCTTTCAAGAAAATAATCCCCCACCTCCCCAACTCCAAAATATGGAAATAAAAAGGAAATTTTGTGTGTTTGTGTATAAAAGTCTGTTTGTTTGTCTATGAATGTATATTTTCTTATGACACTGTGTATATGTGTATTCATGTGTGTGTTTGCATATGAGCTGTGTGTGTGTGTGTGTGTGTGTGTGTATATGAGTGTAAGTATTTGTTAATATAAATGTCCTATGTATAGGAATAAGAGTGTGTGTGTGTGTGTTTTTTTTCCCCTAACAAACAAAAGGGGATTGGGGGCATTTCTGGCCCAATGGCATGTAACCTACGTACACCTTTATGTTCATGTCAGTGCAGAACAGTGGTGATATATATATATATATATATATATATATATATATATATATATATATATTGTGTGTGTGTGTGTGTGTATGGTTTTGTTAAGTTTAAAAAAAAAAATGTAATTCAATATTTTAGTTGTCTTGAGTGTGTGTGTTTGTTTTTCTCTGTAACTTTTTGGATGTTACTGTTTTGTTTTTATTTCTTAAACGGTGTCTTGGTCATTTTGTGAAAATATATTAGCGTTCTACTTGTTTCTGCTCTGACAATTGATAAGTCATTAAACCATCTATTACTAAATTATAAGATGACACTCCCCAGCATATCTTATTTTTCTAGTTTTCATCTGTTAAATATAAGATGGGGTCATTATCACACATAGTGTAAGCATAGGCTGCAGCATGTGCAAGACTTTTTTGTTGTTGTTTTTAATCTTTTCAAAAGTGAGCCTCACTCAATCCCAGCATGGGACATTCTCCTATATTTCTTATTCTACAATAATTTATCGCAACCCGATAACTGAAAATGTCTTGTGTGCATAAAAATGTAAAACATAATATTATTAATAAAAAAAAAAAAAAAAATCCATTCACTTGAAAGCCAATAACTGTGATATATTGTTATTTCTAAAGCCCTGCAGAATAACATTTATAGGAGAACCTCAAAGATATAAACACTAATAATACATTCCAAGTGAGAGGTGATTGATATAAGCCTAGGTATTGCTTGATTAATGGTCAGTACCTAGTAATGGGGGTGGGAGGCCCTGCTCCTGTAAATGGCAAGACTTTTTTTAGAAGTGGTTTAAACAGGCATTTGTGTTGACATGAACAGCTAAGTGATCTTTTTACTGAACACTTGGTTGGTGCCATGTAGTACCAAGCAGTAAATGGGGAGATAATCACTGTAAAATTGCATGGTGTGTGAATATGTCGATATAATGGTTGTTTAGTCATTTTGTTTTCTTAATTGTGCTTTAAGAGTCAAAAATCAATATAGTGCCTATAATTAGCTTTGCCAGGAATAACTGTGTACGAATTCCACACATCAAATAACATGATGAGTGTCTACATAGATGTAGCTTACTTCTTGAAAGCAAATTTGGAATTGGTATAATAAAATCAAAAGTAAGCACTAGAGATGTTTTGAGATAAAATTCCAACCCAGCAGATAAGTACAATAACATATTTTGGGGGAAAAAAAATTAATCATTTTAAAATACTTTTATTAAAAAAAAAAAACAACAACACATTTTTAATTTAAGTTTTTTTTTTTCTTTTCATTTCAAGGCTTTATTAAGGCATAGAGTTGTAATTACAGTTACAGTAGAACATTATTACAGTGAAGGTGTACGGGAGACTCGCAGGTCTCAGTGTAATAGGACAGTGACACAGAGGTTTTTCACCTATTTGGCGTTTGCTTCTGCTGCTGTCAGCGGCCAGGTAGTTCAGACATTTGTTTAACAATTTTAAGCATTCATGTTTGAATGTCACCCGTCAGCAGATGAAGGCCAGTTCGGGGGTTGAGTTGTAAAGGCAGACATTGTTGTTAATATATGATAAGCATCTAACGGCAATACAATAGCATTCATGGCACGTCATCTAGCCTTGTTAGACAGGTCAGTAAAGTGTACAGCTTTGTTGTGGTCTATGTAAGGACATAGGTCGCATTATAGATTATACAGTAGGAATTTTTAGCTATGTGGTGCATTCTCTTAGTACAGCTAGCCTGCTGGATGGGGTAAGTATTAGATGGCAGCGGCTCCTGGGTTGTTGGTGGTGTGTCGGGCAGGTTTTCTGATTTGGCAAGCCGAGTACGGCGTGCAGAGGTGGGTGGAGGGGGTGTGTGGGCAGCAGGGAGACACGGTCCTGGGATCTCTGTCAGGTAGGCCTGTTCAAGATCCGTTGGGGTGGAGGGCGGGGAGCAGTTGTCGAGGAGTGGGGCGTTTGGAGGTCGAGGGTCCGTCAGGTAGTTTTGTCCTGTGTGTGTGTTTGCTACGGGTGTCCCCACTGTGCTAGTCGCTGTTCTTTAATGTTTGTAGGCGGTGGTTGTGTGTGTGTCATGCGTCGGGGTGTTGTCTTGTTGGGGTGTCACCTCTGTGTCTGGTGTCCGTCTGCGTCTGTTTAAGGCTCTGGTTAGCGTCGGGGTTGTATCGGTCGAGCGGATACTGTTCCGGGTTGTGAGGGTTGGGTGGTGTCTGGTATCGCGGTATAGTGTTCTTGGGTATTGGGCGCTTGGGCAATCTTGTTGGGTTGGTTCATCCCTTATCCGGCGTGTGCTGGTCGTGGTGGGTCTTTTGTGAGTGCTGTGGTGTGTAGTCGGTCTCGCAGGTGAGGGGGCGTCTCTGCGTGTGTAGGTTGTGTTCTCAAGTCAGCCTGTCGGCGGTGGGTCATGTGTTTTAATGTGTGTTATGGGGGGGAACGGGGGGATGGGGATGTAGGTTAATGGGGTGAGGATATTGCGGGTGGGGGGAGGGTGCGGGAGGGTAGGGGGGGGATGTCAGGTCCCCACCCCAGCGCGGGGCATCTCCAGCTCTGCGTGGTCGTCTTGGTTTGGTTGGGTCATTGGTCCAGCTTCCGTATTATCGCCAGTCGGTTCCGTCAGGGCGTCCCGTCTGCCTCCACTGCTTAATTTAAGTTTTTAAGTTAATTTAAAAATACTTTTATTTTCTATTGACTTATGCCATTAAATGAAATGCAAAAAATACAATCTTTCTAGCCTCAATGCTAGCAAGCTACACCAGATCAATCTTCTTATATGATGTGAACCATTGCCTCTATAATCTTCACACACCTGTCAATTAGCTGGTGTACATATTACTCATATGCAAGGATTATATTCAATTTATTATGTTTGTAATCCCCAAGCGGACCATCAAAGTTTCTTACTAGTTGAAACTTCTGGATAGATGATTGTGACTCTAAATAAACGTTAAATCCTACTGACTATGGGTACATGAGGATAGGAATAAAAATGATTGTGTTACTACAAACATATGCAACTATTTTTGTGGAATTGTTAAAAATAAGTAAATACACTCATGGCAACCTTGTTTGTTTGTTACTTAAGGAACAAGACTCTTCAGATGGAGAAGATAAAGGCTCGGTTGAAGGCAGAGTTTGAAACATTAGAGTCTGAAGAACGCCACCTGAAAGAGTACAAACAAGAAATGGACCTCCTCCTTCAGGAGAAGATGGCCCACGTGGAGGAGCTGAGGTTGATCCATGCTGATATTAATGTGGTAAGTTCTACTGCTCTGGAAGATTCCTTTGTGTCTGATATTATAAAGAACTGAATTCTTCTCTTCCTTGAAGGGATACTCCAGGCACCCAGACCACTTCTGCCCATTGGAGTGGTCTGGGTGCCAACTCCCACTACCCTTAACCCTGCAAGTGTAATTATTGCAGTTTTGATAAACTGCAATATTTACCTTGCAGGGCTAAGTCCTCCTCTATTGGCTGTCTATCAGACAGCCACTAGAGCAGACAGCCACTAGAGGGACTTCCGTGTTCTTAGAACACGAAAAGTGGTTTAAGCAACGCTGGACGTCCTCACGCTATGTGAGGACTTCCAGCTTAGCCGAAATCCCCATAGGAAGGCATTGAATAATGCTTTCCTATGGGGAGGTCTAATGCACGTGCGCGGCTGACGTCAGCGGGGGAAGAGAGTAGGCGGAGCCTGACCGAGGGTCATCGGTAAGTCACTGAAGGGGTTTTAAGCCCTTCAGTAACTTGGGATGGGGGTGGGAGGGAGAGGGGCACTACAGGGTCCTGCAGTGCCAGGAAAGCTGTGTTAAATGAATACTCCGCCATAACTACTACAGCCCACTGTAGTGGTTATGGTGCCTGCAATGCCCTGGAACGCTACCAGTGTAAATAGACAAACTATTTAAGAATGGTCTGACAGCTTTTGTGGGTTCTGCCAGACACAGGTCCCCTCATCCAGTTCCCCCTCAATATCCTGCACTGAGCTAAGCGTGACAATGTAGCTCTTGCTCCACAAGAGGAAGTCGCTGGCAGTTGAGCAGTCAGACTGTCCTCAAATGGTTTGACTACTTGCTGTAGGAGCACCCAGAAAGCCTATAAATGCACCATAAAACAGTGCTAAAGGAGCAAGACTTCTAAACTGGAGATAAAAACAGCCAGAGCTCTTGAAAAATGTCAAAATGCATTGGATCAGAGGCTTTTTTTTTTTATCCTCATTTTATGTATCTTTTAGCACTGTTTCGTGATCCTTTTTCAGCTGGAAACATGTTATATAGTGAACTTTATAGTGGAAATAAATTTGATTTACATAATTTCAGATATAAACACATACATATATATATACAGAATATATTGACATTTTATAAATAATGCAGCAATAGCTATTACTAAGAACATTATGATTGTTTCTAATGTGTGCTAACCCGGTCCTGAGTCAGCATTCCATTTACAGTATATTGTGGATTAATATAATTAATAGGGCAGAGGTTAAATACCTTCTGATTCCAGGAAATATAAATCACACCTGTCTCAAAATCAATACCATCCTGCAAAACAAAACCCTAAACATGCAGTTCTGGTTGAATCCATCTCTATTAAAGGATCACTATAGTATCAGGAAAACAAACTCGTTTTCCTGACACTATAGCAGCCTTACGACCCTCCCCATCCTCAGGGTCCACCTCCCTTGGCACTGAAGGGATTAAAACCCCTTCAGTTACTTACTTTAATCCAGCACAGGGGCTCCATCGGCGCTGGTGACCTCTCCTCCCCCACCGACGTCAGCTCCCGAACTGCTATGTTTACATCCGAAGGGTTAATACCTGGGGCACCTGGCACCCAGACCACTTCATTGAGCTGAAGTGGTCTTGATGACTATAGTGTCCCTTTAAGATATAAAGTATTTGGATTCATTTGTAGCTTAAAAGTAAACCGGCAAACATTTGAAAGCAATGAGCCCTCTGCTCCAAAAATAAACACAGTTTAAAACCAGTATTTTGCTGTAAATGTCCTATGAGATAGTAACATATATTTCTGGTATGTAGCGGGCAGTACATTGTGATAATAATAGTTTTACAATGACGGCACTAAACACTGACTTAATGGCTATGCGTCTGGCTTGCAGCATCATATCACCGTACTGAAAATCTGTTTATGTTGCCAGCCACGAGTACGATAAACTTGTTTTTAAATGTTTAGCTATAAAATCTGCTATGAATTGTACCACAAAACATTGCTTAAAAAGTGATTGTATTCCTGAGAATCATTCCTGGGGGCAGAGTTAAATGTTTCATACTCGACAAGTTATTTGTGAATATATTCCTAGATTGACATTTGTTTTACAAAACATGACTTGGAAAAAGAGTGTTTTTAGCATTTTGTCAGTTTAGAATAAGAAACATATGTCTGTTTTTTCTATTTAAATGCATTACATGTCCCTTGCCTCCTGAATGTGAATTTATTATTCCCAAATACTACTGCCCTTTTTATTTTTTTATTTTTATTTGTTGTACTTTTATTCTGGAAATTGTGGGGTTTTGTTTGTGTCACAAAGCCCCACTGTAAAAATCTGTATTTTTTAAAATTACCATAATGTGTTCATAAACTAAATTTAAAAAATATATATAATCTTTTTCTAAATGACTTGTTTATAGAAATAACTGGCTGTGTGCATGTCACAAGGAAATCTAAAATGTTATGTAAGAGCGAGAGTAGCCTAAATAGTGACTACATCATGCAGACTTATATAGTATTGATAGGGTGCTGAAATTACTCCTGGCTAAATGTTACACAGAAGAAGCTGGTAGATCTTCTGTGAGATCCACTTTTATAAAATGGCTTCTTTTTCCATTTCTTAATGGAAGTTTCACCCATAGTCAAATAAGCTCCTGGTTTATCCTTATTTAGCCTTTTTTTTTTTTTGCACTCTGATGCTATGTAGGTACTAATTCGCTGTACATTTGATTTGTAATCCATATTATTTTTGTGAAACAAATGCCTACATCCCTAGCCAGTGATGGCTAATTTAAAGAAGCCCTGCTTCCGTTCCCAGAAAATGTTGAGCTTTTTATAAATATAAAATCTTTATGAAATGCTCATAAACATTGTGTTGGTATTTCACTGAATTTCCAACGCAATCAAAAGACCTCATAAGACAAAGAAGGGGTTACTATGTCTTACGGTAAATGTTTACCTTGACAAAACTTGATTATGCAGAGCTATCCACTTTCCACAGCCGTCACTAGTAACAGGTGTGGGATAAGGTATTATCTTACTCATTGTGAGATAATATCTACGGAGGCTCTCACGGAATCCTCCATAAATAAGTGTTTTACACTTGTGCATACACTGATGTGGGCTCTGGGCACCAGGACCTGAAACAAGATGGCGGGGGGACAGCATCAGCTAAGTATACCTCACCATAGCTGTATCCCTTAGGCCACTGCACCCCAAGTGGTGATGTCACCTCCGTAAAGGATCTCAGAAGGTGACAGAGCCGACCAAGCAGCTTTAAACTAAGACTATAGGCACTGTAAGCATTTCATCTCATTGAATTGGGTAACGTGCCTTGGAGTCCCCTGGCACTGTCCCTCCATTCAGTTAAAAAAAAAATAATAAAAAATAATAATAATATTTGAACACTAAATAAGGGTCCATGTCCACCCACAGTCCGGCTCCTACTGGAGGTATGGCTAAGGCAAAAATTACGATTTCTAGTCATACCAAATAATACCAGCAATGGGTGCTTTGACCGTCTAAAAGCAGTCAGCCCATTACTGCTCCTCAGGCTAATGATTCCTCATTAGTCCAAGTAGCAAAAGGTTGATGGACTGCTCATTTAGCATGAAAACACTAAAAACGGTTTAATGTTGAATTGAAGGAGAGCATCGGGGGACTCTAGACACTTCAATCAGATGGGTTCAAAGTCTACAGTGTACCTTTAACATCCCTATGATGCTCATTTAGCCTTTGTTCCCAGGGGAATTTCTTCTTATTTAAAAAATAAAATAGGCACTGTGCCATCTGACTGCAAGAGATATTTATTTTTACCATATTTAGTCATGAATTCATACAGCTTTAAAAATCTAATGTTATTTAACCCCTAATGTGAATTAACCTGACTATAATCACTGTGTATACTCTGGCAATCTACCTAGGTTTTCATTTTATATTGCCTTTAGTCATTTTCTGATTTGATTAGGTTAATCCTATCATTCTCAAATGATGCCTTAGAATGTGGAGTCTAGTTTCATCGGGTTCCAAAACACAATAAAAATTGTTCTTAATGCTGATCTGCTTAGGAGGCAGCTTACAATGGAGATCTGTGTTTCACTGCCCTGAGCATTGTGATACAGCTGAGTTTATACATCTTTAACACAGTTTATTCCAGCCTCTGATCAGTGACCTTGAAGAGGACACAGTAAATCCTTTTTTACATAAACTGACATTTCTCCAGGGAATGTTTAAATTAGGGAGCAACCATAAAAATGGCCATGAAGTAAACAAATAAATGGCCGACCTTTCAGATTGTTCATGAAATGTTATCATGATCTTTCATCTTGAAGTACAATGATAACGAAAACAGTGATGTTTATTTCAGAAGTGTATATTCCATCTCTTTTGGTTTTTAATACCAAAACAAATGATAAAACAATAGGGACATATTAACTGGCAATTACATGTCCAAATTCCCAAGTGATATAATTTGGTTACTTACAAATGTACCAAGCCTTTGACCAAGGCTGTGAAGTGCAATTTCCATATGAATTTAAAAACTTCCAATTATAGGAAATACATTTTCTTTAATTTTGATTATATTCTGACAAAAGATTACATTTATTACAACCTTGGGGTGTTTATTTTTGTATTGAATACATAAACCTGAATACTTATTTTCAGTGCATCTTATGGCTTACCTTTTGCTCCATAGGGGCAGACACTTTGGTTCAAACACTAGATACCTGCTAAAAACATACACAATTTCAGGTCTGAAACCAAAGTGAATTTAATAGATACTCATTGCTTGTGGATGATGACAGGACTTGTGAACACACACTAGCTGATTACCTGCACAACGTTTGGTTGGATAAACTGTGCTTTCAACCAAAGTGGACTAAAATATGACTGCATCCATAGAGCAACGGTAACCCAAGACATTATTTACTTAATAAGTTCATGGCTATATATTTTAAATGTATGCATTACAAAATAATACAGGAGGCTATAATACAATCTTTCAATTTCAATTATAAAAAAATTGTTTTGCTTTAACTACAGCAGACACTGCAGAAATATTTTTAAAAGCCTTTAAGAAATGTTTGTGTGTGCATGGATAATTAGAACTTTCATTAGTACCTGTGTAATTTCGTTTCAAAATGGCTTTATTCAAACATAAGTATTTCAGGGTATGCCCTGACCACTGTACATCAGCAGGTATCTATAGATTGAACAAGTAGACAAGATATAACGGACTCGCGGGTCCCAACGTGAAGTGTGTGAACATCACTCAGACAATGTTACATATTATATCTGTATGGCATTTGGTCGCGTTTAGCACGTTAGTATATACATATGGGTGATCTGATTGCGGCTTGAGTAGAGGAATATTCATAAGTTTGTGCCTTGTGTCTGTTTTATGTTTTCCTCTAATATTTCCTTATCACCCCTGAGCCTCATTCTCTTTGGGGTGGCAAGGTCTATTGGTCCGTCGTGATAGGTCAGATGTCGTTCAGGGGTGTGTCTTATTCGTGTTGTGTGGTCGCATGATGAAGGTGTTTGTTTCCATTTTGGTGTGTAAGTGTGAGTGAGTGACACAATTGTGGGCAATCTCGGATTAATGAGGGCTACGAGTACCTGTGTAATTTGCCCACAGCTATAACAGAACATGGCTCTGTGTTGGGTGGGTTCCTCCTCAATGCCCACTGTTGTGTGCTGTCTCACAGTCAGGTAGAATTTCCTGGGTCATGATGTCACATTCCATAACTCTTTTCTTTGCATGGAACACAGCTTGGAAGCGGTAACTGACATTATACCTGATCATAAGGGACAAGGCCCTACACCTTACTACTGGCATATTAAAGTAGCACTATAACCAGTACAGCTGTAATTGGCTGAGAGTTGCAGCTGACTGCTTTCAGCCTATCACAAAACCCATCCATAGCTGGTATTAGTTGGTATGGCTTGAAGGGAGTGTGTAATCTCACCATACCTCCACTAGGGGCAGGCTCTCAGAAGCCAGGGATCCTCATTCAGTGTTACAATGCTTGAAAATGGTTTAATGCTAATTTAAAGGACCGTGCCAGAGAACTCCTAGCACTATAGCCAATCCAATAAGATGACATAGTTTATAGTGCCTGAAGTTTTCCTTTAAACAGAGGAATATGTATAATAAAATACATATAATATGGGCAAGCTTCCACAATCTCAATGATGTTCCTGAATGTAATTATTTGTAGATTGGGTCTCCATAATATTGGATCATAATGGAATGTGGCGAGTATGTAATCAAAGTGTATTCAGTTTCCAAATAATATTGTGTGTTTAGTTTACGGAGCTTATGTTATAAAGTATTATAACCTCCACAGGGTAAATCTGACCTTTAATGATGTTTGAATGGTTGCTATAATGCCTGCTGTGACTTAAACTTCTACAGATGGAAAACACGATCAAACAGTCCGAGAATGACCTCAATAAGCTGCTGGAGTCCACACGGAGGCTGCATGAGGAGTACAAACCCTTGAAGGAGCATGTGGATGCCTTGAGGATGACGCTAGGCTTGCAGAGGCTGCCGGAGCTGTGTGAGGAGGAGGAGAAGTTATCACTTGAGTGAGTGCTTGGTTTATGTATTTACTATTGGTAGTGCAGCTATTAGTGTTTCTGGTATTCTTAAATGATGTGCTGTCACTTTAGAAAAACTGGATGATTTCTCTACCTTTTGCTAGCAAATGTATAGGTTTATTTTTTTACTTTAACGCTGACACTTCGACTGCTCACATACTCTGCAAAACTGGCTGCAACAACATGGAATTTCTAGTATGCAAGCACACTCCAAGCCTTATGGGATGTTATACTTAGCATTTGCGATTGGATGACTCGAATAGCCAGTCAGATCCAGTGGGAACGCCATCTTGCAGGAGCTGGTATAAAAACACTTTAGGTAAGTATATTTTCTAATCTATGCATTTGCTAGCAATGTAGCTAACCAATCTAAATTTTATATGGAGGCCTATTTGGAGGTTTACCACCAATAGAATAATTCTGTGTGAAATATCAATAGTTTACTGTCTCCCGCTATTTGCATAGAGAAACTATGAAATCACACAATGCTGTATCAGCTTGCTGCGTTTTTTTTCAGTGAAAATAGTAATTTTTCATCCCATACAAGGATTAAAGGAATATAAATATATTTATTTTTAATCTTTGGATGTGTTTTTTTTTTTTTTTCTTCGATTCAGCACTCTGTGTTAACAAGTACAAAATATACAATTAAACTGCCCTTTAATCCAGTACTAAGCAGTCCCTCTTGAGATAATTGTGCTCGGTCTTGGGCATATTCAATTCTTTTCATATAGAAGCATTAGATAACTACAGCGCATGTATACCAATTGCTGTGCTGCATCAGTGGGATGCTTCTCATAGAGAAGCATTAAACCCAATGGTTCTCTATGAGAAGCACTAAAAACATCGGGAGCCATCATACTGTGCGTGATAACTCCAAATCAGAAATCCTTTGATTTATAAAGGCTTTCAGTGAGGACACTGAAACACTGCGGTTTCTCAGAAACATTTATTTATTTATTTATTTATTTATTATGCCAGACACAACGGACAATAGTTTGGCACCAAATCCACATCATTACGTTTAAGTAGTGTTGGTGTTTAGAATGCCTTTAAAGAGCTTATGTTTTTTGCCTGAAGTCTTTCAATAGCTGTGTTCCTTGATTACCAGCAGCATTAGAAATGGTATTGTGCAATACTCATTAAATATCTCATAACAAATAACTGTCTCAGAGGCAAAGTATCGCTGCTCCTGCATATATTGCATGATCATCCTTTTAACTTTATAACACTCCTGCATTATACTACGGTTAACATGGATACAACTCATTCAGCTCCATTTTAATGGATGTGATTATTGTTCAGTTACATTTTATAGCGCATGAGACTGAACCCTGAGTGATGGCCTGATGCCTTCCACACAAATATAGCTGATATTTTCTTGCACCTTTTATACTTTGTTATTCTTTGTTTTCCTTCAGATATTGTTTTTTTTTTCTAACCACAAGCTCTTCTCTTTTGAGATAAATTCCATAAGGTAATTGCATCTCCAACACTATAACTATTTATTCTCATTGAAGTGGTTATAGTGCCCGGAATCCCCTTGTGTCATCTCTCCAGTCAGTGTTAAGCTGCTTTTGAATAGTTTAACACCCAGAATCCAGAGCCCATCTCCCAATTCATACCAGCAACGGGCAGCTGTGATAGGCTGAGAGCGGTAGCATTAAAAAAATTCAAAAGCTGTTTAACACTAAATTGACACATGACACTAGGGGACTTCAGACAATATAACCACTTGAATGAGAAGTGGGTACAGTGCCTATATTGTTCCTTATATTAGAAAATATCTGAGAGAATAAGCATAATAATGATACTATTTAACTAGTTAGTTATTATTATTCTAATCACGCTTAAAGGAATCAGGGAACCAGGAATACAATTCTCCACATAATGCATTAGTTATTGTAACATAATCTAACCCAATCAAAGCTTCCTATTGCTGGATCCAGTGCTTGGCTATCTTCCCACCTTGACTGTGTTAGATGCACACTTGTGAGACATTTCAGTACTTTGCACAGGTATATTTGCAAATTTAAAAAATAAATAAAAATAATAATTCATAAATCTCCCCCTCCAATAATATTGTGAAGCGTTACAGAATTTGTTGGCGCTATATAAATACCAATAATAAAGATGTATTTAACTGCTTTTTGAAGAAAAATAATTATATTAAGCATTTTATTGGAATTGGAACAAAGTAGCAGATCTGTACAAAACTAACAAAGAGAAAACAGAAGTGCATGTATAATATTTAGCCCCTCTGTATTGAATTATTGTATAGTTTTGGAATGTAACAAGCTAATCTATAAACTATTTTAGATCTGTAAAGTACTTCGATGCTCTCTATGTTTGCAGGCTATTTAATGGTTTGTAACTTGTCCACAATTTCAGGCGTGTCTTGTTATTTGGTTCCAGTTACTTTGAAAAACAGAAGGCAGAATGGCAGACAGAACCTCAAGAACCACCAATCCCAGAATCCCTTGCTGCAGCCGCAGCAGCTGCACAACAGCTGCAAGTAGCCAGAAAGCAGGATACCCGACAGACAGCTACGTTCCGCCAGCAGCCGCCTCCTATGAAGGTAACATCTCATCTCCGTCTCCCGTATCTTACTAGCTTTAGTTTGTGAATGTTACTTATCTACAACTTTCAAATACAGACCAGTTATGTACTATATGTACTATTTAACATAGTGACCACATTGGTCAATTTCACTTCAGTGTTCACTTAAAGGGACACTCTTAGCACCATAATTACTACAACTTTTTGTAGTAGTTATGGTGTTGTGAGCATATGGGTACCATCAACCTATTTTTTTTTTGTCCATCTGTTTTCAGGTAGTTTGTCCATAATTTGGGTTCATTCAATAACACAGGTGCCGACTTGACAGTGTGAAAGTTTTACTTTCATATTATCTTTCTAAGCTTGCATGACACTGGATAACCTGGGCAGTTTATCGAAATGCTGTATAATTTCTGCCTCTAACTCCAAGAGTTTTTGAGACTTGTATTAACTTGCAGCATCTATAAATATAATAATTGAAAGCTATAAAACCCGAGAGCTTCTCAATCTAATTACTTGTGAGGTCACAGGAAATGTTTTCATTAGAATATCTATCTGGTTCCACCCCTAAGGGCAAAGCAGATTCAAAAAGACAGGAAAGACTAATTTGTATATGCAGATATGTACAACCCAGGACCGTCATTGTTGGTAACACAATTTGGGTTTGTTTGATTGCCCATCCTACTTTCTACACCATATTTCTCTCATCATAAACTCCAAAATATACTCCAAAGTCAAATAACCCTCCTTTCATACCCAACAAAATAATACACCCACCAGTTGCAATAACAGTGACCATGTTCTTTTTATTATTATTATTATTATTGCCATTTATATAGCGCCAACAGATTCCGTAGCGCTTTACAATATAATGATAGGGGATTTAACTATAAATAGGACAATTACAAATAAACTTACAGGAACAATAGGTTGAAGAGGACCCTGCTCAATCGAGCTTACATTCTATAGGAGGTGGAGGTGGTGAATAATATCAGGAAGTATTACTTTACTGAGAGGGTAATGGATGCATGGAATAGTCTTCCAGCTGAAGTGGTAGAGGTTAACACCGTAATGGAGTTTAAGCATGCGTGGAATAGGCATAAGGCTATCCTAGATACAAGATAAGGTCACGGACTAATCAAAGTATTTAGAAAATTTGGCAGACTAGATGGGCCGAATGGTTCTTATCTGCCGTCACATTCTATGTTTCAATAAACATCAGAATCCTGGGCCTCCAGGATGGTAGCTACAGGTAACAAGTCTTTCCATGTAATGATCATGACTCCCATCTCTAAGTATGTAATCCAGAAGGTTATTTGTTGACTTGAGTAGAAGATAAAGCTAACAGATAATACATTTGCTCTGGATTCCATAGAGATAATTGGTTGTAAGGTACCATACCTGTGCTGTTTTGCTTTAAAGGAATACGAAAGGGACAGGAACTCTAAAACATTAAAGTGTCAGGAATATTCCTGACCCTATAGTATTTTAAACACCATTTAGGCCCCCCGCCCCCCTAAATATAGCAAAATCTTACTGCTGCTGGCTCTGCCCCTTGTATGCCTCCTTGGCTGACATCATCAGAAATGTTGAACTGAGCTAATCGCAATGCTTTCACATAGGAAAGCATTGGATTGGCTGAGCTTGTCAAAGAGGTAGATCAGGGGCAGAGCCAGCACAAGTTAAACACAGTACTGGCCAATCAGGGGTGTAAAACACATTAGGACAGGAAATATCAATCAAATAAGGTGGGCTGCCCTTTAGGAGAGGGCAAGAGACGGGTATGTGAGGTAGGGGTTAGTCTTGGAGGCCATAAGCTTTCCTAAAGAGATGGGTTTTCTTTACCCTTTTATGAATAGAACCCAAGTTGTATTGCATTACCTGCTGACCTCTTCTTTAATGAAATAGAAGAAAACAAAATTAAAATAAGAAAATTTATTTGCAAAACCCCTGCGCTATGTTAGACGGAACAGCTTAGTATATGATTTGTTATTCAGTTCCCTGGGACCTTATTAGTGTGATGTGAAGCCATTTGAATTCTTGATTTTGTTGTCTTTCTTTTTAAAAATATTTTGTTAGATGCTTGGCATGAGATTTAATCCAATGTCTCTTTATCTCTTTAGGCTTGCTTGTCTTGTCATCAGCAGATTCATCGCAATGCACCCATCTGCCCACTTTGCAAAGCAAAGAGTCGGTCTCGAAATCCAAAGAAGCCAAAGCGGAAACAGGATGAATAGATGCCCATTTTGCCCTCTCTAATACTGATTTACCCCTAATGTCCCTGACACTTTCTTGTAACAATGTAACCGTGGTTGCCCTGAAATCCGTGCAGTCTTGAACTGGATTTGTGTTGTTTTTCTATTTAACGTGTTGTAAGCACAACAGGGCCTGTCTCATTACAGCGGCATCATTGCAGTGAAAAACAAAAACGAGTTTGGCAATGCCAATGTTTTAAGCGGCTCAGGCTGCAAATCTGCCGTAATTGTACATTCCCCGTGATTGACGTGCATTTTCCTTTAAAAATAGACGTTGTTTTGGTGCTATTCTTACATTCTGACCTTTGAACATGATCAAAATATAATAATATTGAATAAAATAGAGAATTTGAAGAGTTATCCCTGTGGTTTTTAATGCGGCAAATACATGGCCTGCCCTTGTAGACAAAATGGATCAATATAATAAAAAGTAAACATGCATAGAACATTGTTAATATACTTTGTTAATTCCTGTGTTGAGGGAGCTCTGTTAGAGTGTTAGTTAAACATCTGTTCATTGCTAAGACTTTTGTTCTTATCTGCAAAAATGTTATATTAAAGAGATGCTCACATTTGTTTTACTACTGCCTTCTGCATTTCATTAACACTAGATGGGTAGATTAACAGTGTTGGCTATTGAATGGAAACATTTTCTATAAAAACATTAAATGGATGGATCGTAACACACACTAGCATACCTTTCTACCTAATTATTGATTTTGTTTGATTAACCGTATGTCTACCAGCTAATGAGCAAATCACAGCAGATAAATTCTATTGATACTTTAGAGAGTGTTCAGAAAAGGGGCTACTAAACTGGTTCATGGATTGCAGGATAAAATTACAAGGAAAGGTTAAAGGATCTTAACATGTATGGCTTGGAGGCAGTTGTGTACACACGATCCACAGGGGGCCCAAGTGCGAAATCTGGTCCGTGGGCCACCCCCGGTGGTTACAACGCGAGGGCCGGGCTGCAATAGATGGCGGCAGGCACCCTTTCAGGTGTCCATAGAGTGGCTGGGCTCCCTGGAGTGACGGGCCCCATCGCAGCTGAGACCCCTGTATGTACGCCACTGCTTGGAGGAAAGACGAGACAGGGAGGATATGATAGAAACATTTAAATACATAAAGGGATTCAACACAGTAAAGGAGGAGACCATATTTAAAAGGAGAAAAACTACCACAACAAGAGGACATTAAATGAGAGGGGCAAAGGTTTAAAAATAATATCAGGAAGTATTACTTTACTGAGAGGGTAATGGATGCATGGAATAGTCTTCCAGCTGAAGTGGTAGAGGTTAACACCGTAATGGAGTTTAAGCATGCGTGGAATAGGCATAAGGCTATCCTAGATACAAGATAAGGTCACGGACTAATCAAAGTATTTAGAAAATTTGGCAGACTAGATGGGCCGAATGGTTCTTATCTGCCGTCACATTCTATGTTTCAATAAACATCAGAATCCTGGGCCTCCAGGATGGTAGCTACAGGTAACAAGTCTTTCCATGTAATGATCATGACTCCCATCTCTAAGTATGTAATCCAGAAGGTTATTTGTTGACTTGAGTAGAAGATAAAGCTAACAGATAATACATTTGCTCTGGATTCCATAGAGATAATTGGTTGTAAGGTACCATACCTGTGCTGTTTTGCTTTAAAGGAATACGAAAGGGACAGGAACTCTAAAACATTAAAGTGTCAGGAATATTCCTGACCCTATAGTATTTTAAACACCATTTAGGCCCCCCGCCCCCCTAAATATAGCAAAATCTTACTGCTGCTGGCTCTGCCCCTTATATGCCTCCTTGGCTGACATCATCAGAAATGTTGAACTGAGCTAATCGCAATGCTTTCACATAGGAAAGCATTGGATTGGCTGAGCTTGTCAAAGAGGTAGATCAGGGGCAGAGCCAGCACAAGTTAAACACAGTACTGGCCAATCAGCATCTCCTCATAGAGCTGTATTGAATCAATGCATATCTGTAAGGAAAGTTCATTGTCTCCATGCAGAGCGTGGAGACACTGAATGGTGTGCAGCACTGCCCCAGGAAGCACCTCGAGTAGCCATCCTAGGAGAGGCCAGTGAACGTATCCCTAGGCTCTAATGTAAACACTACCTTTTCTCTGGAAAAAAAACAAAAAACAGTGTGTACTGCAAAGAGCCTGAAGGGAATGTTTATATTCACCAGCAGGGCCGGCCTTAGGTGTACAGGTGCCCTGTGCGAGCCAATCTCGTGGCTCCCCCCTTCTTCCCTTTCATCAAAACCCCACCTCTACAAAATCCCAGCACTCCCTTCACCAAAACGCCTGCACCTACTTATACAAAAACCCTGCCCCCTTCAACAAACCCCTTGCCCATCTTCAACAAAACCCTTGCCTCCTTTCATCAGTGGTCCACCCTTAAACAAAACCCCTGCCCACCTTTTACCAAAGCCACTGCTACCCCTTCACCAAAACCCCTGCTCACCCTTCAACAAAACCCCTTCACCAAAATCCCAGCCCCTCTTCAACAAGAGCCATGCATCCCTTCAACAAACCCTTGCCACCCTTCAACAAGAACCCTGCCCCCTTCAACAAACCCTTCTTCAACAAATCCCCTGTCTGCCGTTCACCAAAACCTCTGCCACCCTTTCAACAAATCTCCTCCACTAAAATCCCAGCCCCTCTTTAACAAGAGCCATGCCCTCCTTCAATAAAACCCCTGCACACCCCTTCAAAAAAAACCCTGCTCCCACATCAATAATGCCACCCTCACCCTTCACCAAAAACCCTGCCCCCTTCAATAAGAA